CGTTAGTCACCACAGAACCAGCAATACAGCGGCCCTGCTGATACTTCTGCCCGGCCACACCGCCAGGGACACGTGACAAGGTTTAGTACATAAAGAATCATAAAACCATCCTGCCACTTGGTAATGGAGCCACATAAGAAAACCTTGATATGATGCATGAAGCAAAATTTTAAGTTCATGCCTTAGTCTGTCTGGGCTGATGTAACAAAGTAACTAGACCAGGTAATTTGTAAACAACAGAAATTTATTTCTGATAGTTCTGAAGGCTTGGAAGTCCAAGATCAAGGCACTGCAGGTGAGTGTCTGGTGAGGACCCTCTTCCCCACAGATGGCACATTCTAGCTCTGTCCTCCCATGGTGGAAGGGACGAACAAGCTCCTGCAGGCCCCTTTTATAAGGACGCCAATCCCATTCACCAGGGCTTTGCCCTTGTGACCTAATCACCTCCTGCAGGCCCCTTAACACTATTGCATTAGGGACCAGGTTTCAACACATAAATTTTAGGGGGACACAAACATTCAGACCATGTCAATGCACATTATTGTATTGTTTAACCATAGACACTCCGTTGTATAGCAGATCTCTTGGCCTTATTTATCTTGCATAACACAAACTTTATACCCATTGAATAACTCCCATTTCCTAGCCTTCCAGCCTCTGGTAACCACCTATTTCTGGTTCTATGACTTTGACTATTTCAGATACCTCATATAAGCGGAATCATGCAGTATTTGTCTTTCTGTGACTGGCTTATTTACTTAGCGTATTGTCCTACAGGTTCACCCATGCTGTCATAATTAGCAGGGTTCCCACAGCCATTTTTAAGTGACTCCTTTCCTGTTGACCTTGGGGTGCAGTTTCGTGTCTCATTGGCCCAACAGTGCATGGTTTGAGTGCCCAATGTCTGCTCACTTCGGGAACCAGATAATGTATTCTAGAAATCTAACTAAAGCACCTGCCTCATCCCAAATCCTTTCTGAACCAACAACTGGTTATTTCTGGTAGTTAGGTGCATGACACACTTTAAATCCTCCTCTAAATCCCCATGGGAGTTTTTTTTTAAATGTATGCCCGTTTCTCTGACTGTTCAACAAGGCCACTGGCTACAAGTGGAGTCTTTGAACTGCCCTCATCTCTGTCCACTGTGCAGACAGATTTGGCTGTGTCTTCTCTGATCAAGCTTTTCTCGTCTGCAAGGTGTGTTGCTGCTGGTTTCCAAACCGAAAGGTGACACAATCCAGAAATTCTCATCGGTGAACCAGACAAATCCTCTGCGTCAGCCGGGAGCATTTCTGGGGACACGCACGCACGGGGGCTGGAGAAGGCCCCTGAGGGCTTTGTTGTCAGCGCGACAGCAGCGGGGCACCTGCTCTTGTATGCGGTCCCCCCGACCCTCATAGGAACGTCTCTGACACCACCCAAGACAAAGTTGGTGTTCCCAGCTCCAGAATTTTCTAATGCCCTTCTGCAGCGGGGCAGCTTTGACGAATTCTCAGCAACAGGCTATCAATTGTCTCTCAAATGGTTTATTAGGAACAGCTATCTTAAGCAACTTTTGTGCTGAAAACATAAGAAAGCTTCACTGAACTATTTCATTTCTGCTGCTACTTCCAGTCTGTGTTTTCTTCTGATTTCAGATACATCTAATATTATCTGAGCAGTCAAGTCGTAGAGTCTTACAGACCATCCTGCACTAGCACCGTCTGAACATCCTTTAGCAACTGTTTCCGCTCAGAGCCCCTTCTCGAATTCTGTTCTCTCTCTGGTGATTTTGTGAGTAGGGAATCTTTGCTATAAACAAACTTCTGCCAAAGCCAAAGTCAACCCCATTTGTTTCTAAGTCCCTTGCTCATTGGCAGACTCTGAGATAAATATTTTTATGGTTTCAGGAATGTCTCTAGTTGGTCCAGTCTATGCAGTCAATACCCAGGTCTTTGCATTTTAGCTGGGTTTATCAGCCTGCCTCTATTTGTCATGTGTGAGTCACTAAAGTCTTTAAATCCTCCTGAATTCTTACTCAGAGGAGAAATTATCATAATATTTCAATGCAATTTACTAACTTGATTTGAATGTTTATTAAGTCCAAGTCTCACCTGATGAAATTATGGCCATGAGGTTGGCAAATTCAAACATACTTGCTTCCGGCAGTACAGCAAGTTTCTATTGATTTCTATTCTAGGAGAGTGCACGTCGTGCCTGGACACTAGAATGGAAAAGGAAGCAGCAGGTGTATTTGCAATGTCGCGGCAGTCCTCCGTGCCCTGGTGGCCTGTGCAGTCTTCACCACACCGGGCACAGTCGAAGCAGTCAGGGGAGCTACTTGCTGAATGCCTGGCAATGTACAGCTAACCGCAGACAGGTCTGTTAAGAGGAGAGCTAATGGAAACCAACGATCACTCCTCAACCATCCCCTTAATCAGGGCAATAATCTCCTGTACATTCCTGGGATTCTGTGTTGTTTACTGAGGATTCTAAGAGAACACAGGAAATTCCCAAAGTTCCCATTCAGCATGGCCAATTAAAACTCCAAGAACGCCTGTAATCCTAGCACTCTGGGAGGCCGAGGCGGGTGGATTGCTCGAGGTCAGGAGTTCGAATCCAGCCTGAGCAAGAGCAAGACCCCGTCTCTACTATAAATAGAAACAAATTAATTGGCCAACTAATATATATAGAAAAAACATTAGCCGGGCAGGGTGGCACATGCCTGTAGTCCCAGCTACTCGGGAGGCTGAGGCAGGAGGATTGCTTGAGCCCAGGAGTTTGAGGTTGCTGTGAGCTAGGCTGACGCCACAGCACTCACTCTAGCCTGGGCAAAAAAGCGAGACTCTGTCTCAAAAAAAAAAAAAAAAAAAACCAAAAAACTCCAGGAGGGGTGACTGAGACAATATATGCCCCACCCCCCAAAAAGGATAAAGGCAACATTTTCTCTTAACACATAACATCTATTCCAATTAGGCATTTGGCAAAACGCTCTGTGAAAGAATCTGTTTTCTTACTTTTCTTTTCAAGCTTCTACAGGTCACCCGCCTTTCAGGGCTCATGGTCCCTTTCCATGTTCAAAGCCAGCAACGGTCTACCAAGTCTCTCGTACGTAAAATCACTCTAATACTGACTCTTCTGAATTTCTCTTCTACGTTTAAGGACCCTTGGGATTATATAGAGACCACACATATAATCCAAGATAATATCCAATTTTAAGATCAGCTGCCTAGTTCCTTACTTCCCCTCTGTCATGTAAGCTAACCTAGTTCAGAAGTTCTAGAGATCAGGACTGGGACATCTGGGAAGCCCTTTTGTTACTGACCATAGGTGGTAGGAGGTTTAAATTTTATGGCCAAGGACAATAAGTAGTCCTTCATTTACCAGGGTCTCATATTTATTTTTCCTCAAGAAGACACCCTAGGGCTTATTTTCAGGGGATGTATTGTTTTTTTTAAGTATGGTCCAACAATCTACATTTATTCAAATATAGTTAAGTCGTCTTCTTCTGGAACATCATCATAACTCTCCAAATCCCCAATTCCATCCTGAATTTCTTGTGACTCTATTTCCTTTAGAACCATTGGCCCCAATCTCTCATGTTGAGCAATAGAGCTCTCATGGGGCAGATGAGAAGGGCTGCTCATCTTCTTTACCGCTCTGCGACGAAATGCACGGGTTGTGCAGATGCGCTGTGTAGCCACGCCCAGCACTAGGTCTTATTTTTGGGGTGGGGCTTCTATTGTGCAAATGCTTAGAAATCCTGCTAGGGCTTATTGTATGGGTAGGTCTTATTTTTGGGGAAACACAGTATGAGTTGGAAAAATATTGAAATATATTACGTTTGCATAATTTTCTCAATTTGAAAATTGATATTTCCTCAGGATAAGATTATACATTATTGACAAAAATATTGCTGAAATGACGTTGGGGTCTCACGTACCACATCAAAGGCATACGATATGTTTTTGTCCCATAATTCAGAATATCAACTCTGATCATTTAACTACAGTAGTATTTGACAGATTTCTTCACTGGAAAGTTATGATTTTTACTTTGAAATTAATAAGTATATTGTGGGGAGATAATTTCATGCTATATAACCATCCTGTTTCTTATCAAAGTTCTGCCCACTGTTTTAAAGAGTCATTTATAATTCTTTTCTGGAATACACTAACAGTGTGGGAGGTCAATTGTACAAGCCTAATGTCAAATTCATTTTCATTTATGAATATATATAAACTTCTGTCCAATCGGTTAACGGGGTGTGCAGGAAAGAGTTAGCAAGAAAACCTAAGATTGCTATCCTTATAAAAGCCTGCTTGCCAGGTGGCCCGTGGTTGGAGTCTGGGAACTCAAATGGTAAACAGTTCCCTGCACTGATACACAGGTCTCCTTAGATGATAAGAGTGACTCATACCCCTAGACTGTTTGTACAAGTAATATGTTAATAGTTTATGTTGAACACCTACTTTGTATCTGGAGTCTGGAATTTTGATACATGCTTGAAAGAAGGTCCCCGTTTGAACATTCTCTAATAAAAACCCTGGGTGCTGAGTCTGTGATGAACATCCCTGTAGATTTATGACAACACTTTACACATGTTGTCATAAATTGCTGCTGGAAGGATTAACCATGTCCCGTGTGACTCCACTGAAAGAGGCTCGTGGATCTTGTGCCTGGTTTCTTGCAGACTTCACTCTGGGTGCCTTTCATTGCTGGTTTCGGGTTGCATCCTTTGCTGTAATAACTGCGGCCTGTGCATGCCCTATATTCTGGGTCCTGGGAGGCTTTCTGGGGAATCGCCAAACCTGGGAGGAGTTGTGGGGACATCCCTGGGACACACAGGATTGACTGAGATGTCCACACAAAGACATATAGATTCTAAACAACTTATTGGCACATTTTATGTGAATAGAATTATGCTACGTGAAATCAAGACAAGGAGGCTAGTCCTATTTTAAGAGACTCACAATATGGTGGCTATTAATTACATATGAAGGAGTGTAAATGGAATATTCAATTAACTGACTTGAAGCAGAGTAAGGCAAATCCAAGCAGCTTATTTCTATGGGAGCTTTGAAGATGTGGACACCTCATCTTGATCAGATTATCGGGAAAGCCAGCGGCATATAAATTAGCCTTAAAATAATAAGTGGCTCTTGACAGATTATGATGCCTGAAGGCAGAGGAAGAAGAGTTTTGGAAGGCAGGGGAAATGTTGCAAACAGATGGAGAGTATGCCCAAAGAAGTGAAACATTGAGTGCATTAGGACATAAAACATAATAATTGTTACTTATGGCACAAAGTGGCATTCACGTACCTTATTCATAACTCGGTTCCGTGCAAAACTTATGGATGATTATAGAAGGCCCATTACAATTCCGTGACATTTTTAAGTGTCCCTCTTAAACTCAGACACAGAACTTATGTTCTACTGGTTTCTAATTGTGTTTCTCTTTTCTGTCTCTCCTTTGTCAAGGTCCATCATGAATGAGAAATGGGACTCGAACTCTTCAGAAAACTGGCTTCCCATCTGGAGTGTCAATGACACAAAGTATCATCTGTACTCAGAAATTAATGTCACCTACGTGAACTACTACCTGCACCAGCCCCAAGTGGCAGCAATCTTCATTGTTTCCTACTTACTGATCTTCTTCTTGTGCATAGTGGGCAATACCTTGGTTTGCTTTATTGTAATGAAGAACAAACATATGCACACAGTCACGAATCTCTTCATTTTAAACCTGGCCATCAGTGACTTACTAGTTGGCATATTCTGCATGCCCATAACACTGCTGGACAACATCATAGCAGGTACGTTGGCCGTGTGCAGTGCAAAGATGCTATGAAAAGTGTTGATCTCCTATCTCTGCAGTCATGGTAGGGTCGTCCATTCATTCATTTATTCATTCATAAACATTTATGGAGTTCCAGGCACCTGCCCTCCTGGGGTCTACACTCTGAAGGAAGAGGGAGAGAATAAGCAAATAGGTATATTCGTCAAAGAATGAGAATAATTATGGAGAAAAGTGAAAGTGACAGAGATGGAGCATGGAGGCTTTATGTAGAATGTTCACTAAAGGTCATCAGAGAATGAGATGGAGCACTTCTTACCTCAATCCTTTGCATTTGCTTCATAAAGTTCAGGGCACATATAATAGAGTGGAAATAGTAATATTACTCTGGACTATGCACTTCAAGGAACTGATAGATCTGTTTCAATTGATGTGATATCTTCAATCTAACATAAGTAAAAATTTAGACCTTTCTGTGGCTAGCTAGAGAGATTTATAATAGTTTTTGAGGGAAGATAAAACAATCCTAATGACTTTTCAAAAACTTGTCATTTACATGGGCAACATACGTAAGCTCACATGGTAAGGGTTAGGGTATCACCCTACAGTACTTACGGGCCACCGTACTTCTTTAGCACTGCCTTATATGGTCCAGAAGAGCAGGAAAAATACATCTCCAGCTCCCAGTACTATTTTGGTACATAGTAAATATTCACATTCCAAATCTGTATACGAAAAAATGAAATAGCAGCATATCAAATAATTTTTGAGCAGCATGAGCCATATCATAGCCCTTAAACTTTCAGAGCATTCAACATCACTTTCCTGAAAAATAGGAAAAAAACGATTTCTGTGGAGTTTTTCACTGTTTCTGCCCTTTCTCTGGACTAGGAGCCAAGGAGAGTTCAGAGTGCCCATTCTATTAGTCATGCTGTGCACAGAGTCTCAGTTTTTGTGATGTTTACCATTAAAAAAATATTCATCAAGGATGTAACATTCTCAAGATACTGTGTTAGACAAAAAGAGGGTATAAGATATGCCAAAAAAAATTATTGTTTTTGCTCTCAGGCAAGTTATTTTGCCAATAAAAAATGCTCTCAATATTTTCCCCCCTAAACATTTGAAATTAAAATGTGATTTAAAATTTTTGCACATAAGTTACCTACCCCTCCTAACTTCTTCATTTCCATTCTCAGGAGGCAGCCACTTTAACATCTTTACTTTTATTTTTGGAAATTACTACCATATTTCTAAGTAACTATCATTATATTTCTAATAATTTTCTATATATTATCTTCAAACTGTAGACTTAAGTTTAGTTTTTATAATCTTTTTACCACATAATCACAAACACACGTTCACAAACATACCTTCTCTCATTATCCCAATATAATTATATCATAATTGTTGTTTAAATCCATATCCAGAGTATACATTCCTGTTTTATATGTATCTTATCCCTGCTGAGCCTTGGAAAGTACTATGATATCAATTTCTTTCTTATAAAATGTTATTCATTTTCCTGGATTTACTAAGGCTGTATTTTGATTTGCTTCATTTTGGGTGTGTACCTATCAGTACTGTATCCTCAAATTCTCTTCCTGGAGTATTATTCTCTTGTCAATACCTTTAAACATATCAGGTAGCCTATGAATTGCGTCTTTTTCCTGGAGGAAAAGATGCCCCTGGTGCCCCTTGTTCTTAGCAGGACATGTTGCTCTCCAGGTGTGGAGCTCAGTTACTGTTCTCGGATGTCACCTCACTGACACTCTGACAATTCTCTTCACTTCTCTTTGTGCTCAACCCTCTGCTTTCTGGACGCCGTGTTTTCTTCTTTCTTGGTTTATTCCTTCCTTACAAATGGTGCATTGAGACAAAACATGTCTGAGATCTTGTATGTCTGCAAGTATCTTTATTCTGTCCTCACACTTGATTGTCTGCATGAAGAATTCTAGGTTGGAAATTTTCTTCCCTCTTAATTTCAAAGGGATCGCTCTGCTCTATTGTTACTGCTGTAAATTGTGGTGTTATTGCTAAAAACTCTGATGCCATTTAATTCCCACTTCTTTTGCTCATGATTTGCATTTTGTTTTTCTTACTAAAAGCTTTTAGAACTTCCCCTCATCCCTAATTTCTCAATTTCATGAGATTATGCCTTGGAGTAAGTCTTTTTGTTTTTCATTTGTTGTCTGAGCACAAATTAGTCCCTTTCAATCAGAGAATGAATGCTTTTCAAAGCTGGGGAATTTTTTGTAGAGTTCCTTCTCATTTTCCTTTCTTCTGTTCATATTAATCAGATCTTGGAGATTCCAGCTTGACCTTTCATTTGCCTTTTCTCTTCCATTTTTGGCCCTTGTTGTTCTATTTTCGAAGATTTCCTCAACTTTCTCTTTCAATCTTTATGTTGAGTTCCTCATTTCTGTGTTCATATCTTAAATTCCTTGAGCTATTTTTATTTTCTGCATGGTTCTTATATTACCATGCACATATTTCATGGATAAAACGTGTGTCATATCTTTGAGTTAATCAGTAACATTTTTGTTTGTTTTCCATTTTTCATATATCTGACTCAGATTTGTTTTCCCATAAATGTCTTTCTGCATATTTGTTTCAGTCTCTTTCCTCTGTGTCTGAGGTTTCCCTGGTGTTGAGTGTTGTTTAGCTGCTGTGTGCTCAGACTGAGGCACTACGGGCTGCCTGGGGTCCTGCCTGCCTGGACGCCACAGCTGGGACCGCAGCCCACTCCCGTAGTCGGGCCATTTGCTGGGAAATGCACAACTGTCCACATCTGTGCAGCAGGCTTCTTGAACAGGCCGCTTTCCCCAGAAGGAAATGTCCTGCTGGCTGCTGCTGCCTTCCAGGGCTGAGTGGGTCTCTGGGCCAGCGGGGTTGCCATGCCGTGGGGCGCTGTCACGTAGTCCTTCCGTGCCACCGGGCACCCATGACCCAGCATCTGCGGGCTGATGTTCTCGGAGGCCGGAGTACCTTGTGGTTCTGCCTCAGAGAGCAGAGCCCCATTCCTCTGTCAGCCTGGAGGAAATGCCAGCGGCGTCTCGTTGGTTTATACCCGATTCCCACCCATCGTGTTGTTTTCCCAACTTGACATTCAGTATTACCTGTCACCTCCACTTCTATGGATCTCTGCTCTTTTGTCCCAGAGCTGTCATTTCACTGGAGCTGGGTGAGTGGGATAAGATGAAACATAGGCTTATTCTTCCGTGCTTCACCCAGGGCTACCCACACTCTTGCATTTTGGTTGAAAATAATACTATCCCAACCTAGTATAATAAATTGTAGGACTGGGGAGGCATTTTCTCTTTTGGTTTTCATTGAGTAGAGTCACCCAAGCACTTATTTTAAGATGGTTTAGTTAGGTAAATTTATTTATTTGTTTATTCATATTGATTGATTGATTGATTGAGACAGAGTCTCCCTCTGTTGCCCAGGCTAGAGTGAGTGCTGTGGCATCAGCCTAGCTCACAGCAACCTCCAACTCCTGGGCTCAAGCAATCCTCCTCCCTCAGCCTCCTGAATAGCTGGGACTACAGGCATGCGCCACCATGTCTGGCTAATTTTCTCTATATATTTTCAGTTGGCCAATTAATTTCTTTCTATTTTTAGTAGAGATGGGGTCTCACTCTTGCTCAGGCTGGTCTCGAACTCCTGACCTTGAGCGATCTGCCCACCTTGGCCTCCCAAAGTGCTAGCGTGAACCAACACGCCCAGCTGGTAAATTTTTTTAGATATACGTGGATTATTTAGTTTATCTGAAGTATTTTAAATTACCAAGAATATTTTGTTTGGAGAAAATAAATTGCAGGATTTTTTTTAAAAGATAAATTTTAAAAGTCTGAGAAGTATGTAGTATTCATCTTTTGGAAACTAGAATGTTGGCTAGAAAAAGAATATGATTACTTTCCTGTAACAGCAGATAAAGGTTTAGAATATTGAGCTGCCATAATAATTTTACTAATTTCTTTTATAAATTTCTAGCAGCTGAGCTTCAGCTAGGAAATAATTCAAAATTTGTCTATTTGACTACCTTTTGGAAATTATAATATGAAATGAATGTACTCCATTTGACAATTTACCTCAAAGAAGCTTTTGTTCATGAAAAGTATTCTTTATTCTGGAAGCACCTCTGAGGTAAACTGTCTCATTACATTGTGTATTAATAAATATAATTTATTTATTCTTTATGTATCTCTTAATTCCTCGTAATTTATGGAGTACTTTTTCAAATTAAAAAACATTGTTCTATGGCTATCATTCAGAAAACAGTTGCATTGGTTTTGATTTTGCACCTTTCTGTTTATATGTTTAGTGAGATTAAAATAAGAACTTGCTCTTTTAAAAGACTGTTCATTTCCCTTTCAGGATGGCCATTTGGAAACACGATGTGCAAGACCAGTGGGCTGGTCCAGGGCATATCAGTCGCAGCCTCAGTCTTTACTTTAGTTGCAATAGCTGTGGACAGGTAAGTCAGCACCAAACTCGGAATCCAGAAAAATGCGTGTGTCTGCAACTAATCCACCAGAGAAATCTATAATCTACTAAAATTAGGCATATCTTCCCCAAATTAATATTAATAATTTCTATTAATATTATATTATTAATTAATAATAATATATCTTTAAGAGCAAAGTGTATACCTACTAAAGGTTAAATAAGCAAATAAAAAATAAGCAAATAAACTTTTGAATTTTCCATATTTTAAAATTAAATAATGATGGATGACACAATTTTACTATTTTTCATACTAGAATCTAGAATTTTCTAATGATGGAAATACAAATGTGCTGAAATAAATCTTAAATTTTATTCAGATTTTGTGATAGCAAATCATTCATCGATTCATTTGTTTACACATTTTTTTGAGAGTTTACAATGTGCCAGGTACTAGGCTGGGTTGTGTAGCATCTAAAACAAATTAGACAAAGTGCTGCCTTAGAAAGTCTACAGTCTGGTGGAGCAGACAGTCTCATTAACAAATATCTACAGATAATTCTTTCTACTAGGGATCCAATGTATAATAGCTATGCAAAGGAGGGAATCAATTCTACCTGTCAGGACAGGGAGTGGGAGGTTCACAGAAGAGGTGAGACTTGTCTAAGTCTTGAGGGGATCAGAAATTTACTTTGGGAAGAAACTGGGGAAAGGTGATCCTTTAAGACAAGCACATGCCCAGGGCACTGGAAACAGCAGGTGTTTGTCGGGAGCAATACAGAGAGGCAGGTCAGCTGGAACAGGGAAGGCAGGGTAGCACACTGAGTCACTAAGGGAGGCAAGGGGTGGATTTGCAATGGGCTTACCTCCCATTTTAAGGAGCGTAAACTTTATTTTGAAGACAGCAGGAAGCTATTGAACTCTTTTCAACAGGGGAATCATGACTAGATTTTCATTTTAGAAAAACTAGCAACAAATGAAATGGATTGGAGTAATGTGAGGTTAGCAGAAAGGAGGGCAGTTGAGAAACTCTTCTAACCAGACAGATGCAAGAGGATGCATCCTCTACTAAGGCTGAGACAAAGAAAATGACGAGATATTTGAAAGGTAAACTGAGCAATGAGTGGAAGATAAGATATCTCCCTAAGTAAATCTGATCTGATAAAGGAAACAATCAACCAACAAAATTATTTGTGTGTAAAGAGAGAGAGAGAGAACAAAGTTACAAATTATAAAATGCAATGGAATTGTTGACATCAAAAGAACAACTTAGGCCTTTCGTTTTAATTCAACTGCTGGTATAAATGGTTGATCATGGAAATTTTAAAGGAAGTAAACAAGTTTGCTTTTCTTTGTGGTTAAAATATTTTAAAAAGAAAGATCAGTAAATAAATGTAAGAATTATTTCTTTCCTTGCATAACAATCAGTCTTGCACTATTAAATTTAAATCTTATAATCAAGTGTATGAGTTTCACAACTATATATTTCAGTGTTTGTTTAGTTTTATGAGTTTTACTGAAGTAAGGAGAGCTCTGGGTCTTTTTCTATTATAACTCCACATTAATGAGGAAGATTCTGTACTAAGCAATTGTTTGGAACTGGATATGTACAGATATTTTAATGCTGCTCTGTGCAAATGAAATATCTTTGAATATACCATGGAAGTCTTGGAGTCTTAATCTTAGGAGGGAAAGGTGAAAAATCATTAACTTGCCTGAGAGCATTTGTAAAGAATAATCAATCTTAAAATAGTATAGTACAGGCAATACTATAATTCAAAAGGTTTGAAATACCATCTACATGCCAAGGACTCCTTGTATTAGTCAATGTTCTCCAGAGAAATAGAATCAATGGCAATAGGATACAATTATAGATATAAAGATATATACAAAAAGAGAGATAAATGTTTATTTTGAGAAATTGGCTCACATTTTAAAGGCTGAGAAGTGCCATGATGTGCTGTCTGCAAATTGGAGACCCAGAAAAGCCTGTGTTATAATTCAGTCCAAGTCTAGAAGCTGAGACCTAGTGGAGCCAATGGTGTAAACATCAGTCCAAAGGTAGAAGAAAATGAAATTAAATGTACCAGATCAAGCAGTGAGTTAGAAAAAAAAAAAAAAAAAGAGGGAAAATTTCTTATTCCTCTACCTCTTGTTCTATTTAGGTGCTCAAAAAATGGGATGATGCCCACCACCGTGGGGAGGACAATCTACTTTATTTAGTCCACTTATTCAAATGCTAACCTCATTCAGAAACACCTTCCTAGGGACACCCAGAGATAACACTGAATCTGGGCAGCCCTTAGCCAATTCAAGTTGACACATAAAATTGACCACCACACTCCCATAGCAGGTGCTCCTGGTGCCCTGCACGTATCTCCTGCCTCACATCTGTCTGTTGGTATCTTTATCTCTGTCTCTTCCATTCAAATTGTGGAAAGCCTCTCTGTTCTTGAGCAGGATAGGCCACAAGTACCACAGAAGTAATGCCTATAGGAGCAGGTGTCTTTTATTTTAAATATGTATATATAAATAAATTAATAAAACTTAAAAATAGTGATTTGACTTTTTGGCTACATCCCCAAAAATCTTATATTCAAGTTGGTGTAACACCAACACAGAGAAGTGAAATCATTAAGATCCAATCAGAACTAAATGAAATTGACAACAGGAAACGATATATGGAAGTGATAAAACAAAAAGCTGGGATTCCTTGAAAAAATAACAATTGCCACCATTGGCTGAGACTAATGGAAAAGGAGAAAAGAAAAATCTTGAATAAGTCCATAGGAAACAATAAAGGGAATTAAACTGATGCAAGGGATACAGATATAATTATGAATACACAAAAACATCTATGCAAAAATGGGAAAATGTGGGAGGAAATGGGGCAATTCTTAGACACACACAGGCCTCCCTAGGGCTTCACCAGGGAAGAAATAGAATTCCTGACAGACATATCAAGTACTGAAATTGAAACAGCATAAAAATCAGCTTCCTGAAAAGAAAAGTCTGGAACAGATTGGTTACACCTGGAATTTAAACAATAGCATAGAAAGAACTGGTGGCTATCTGCGAAATTATTCAAACTCGGGAGACGGATGGAATCATTTCCCAACACATTTTATGAAGCAACAATAACCCTGATTACAAAACAAGAAATGGATGCAAAAAAAAAGAAAAAACTACACGACCCACTTTCCTAATGAATTATAGATTGCAAAATTTTCAACAAATCCTAGCATCAATCAGGTGCTTGTCAAGAAAAATTAATTATCACAACCAAGTGGGCTTCATCCAGGGATGCAGGGGATAGGTTCACGTACACAAATCTATAATGTACTCACCATATAAACAGGAGCAAAACAAGTCCTTATGATCTCTCAATAGATGCAGAGAAAGATTGGACAAATTCAACACTTTTTATGATAAGAACACTCAACAAATAGGCATTAGATGGGTTATCTAAAGTGAATACAAAGCCAATAATATGACAAACCACGGCATATCATTACTGAATGGGGAAAGTTGAAGCGATTTACTTAGAATGGACAAGACAAGGTTGCCCATATTCACTTCTGTTCGAACATAGTGCTGGGAAGGTCTCGCCATATAGCAATCAGCAAGGAGCGGAACTTAAGGGTGTCCAAATTGGGAACAGAGAGATCAAATCTCATCTTTGCGATTGGGACCGATGATATTATACCTAGGGAAACCCCAAGGATTAACCATGAGACTTTTGATCTGATAAATGCATTTGGTTAAGGGTTCAGGATAAAATCAATAACGAAATTGGGAGGCAATTCATATAACCAACAAAGTCAAGTTGGAGAACCAATAAGCTCAATTCCTTCAAAAGTAAGACAGAAAATAAAGTACCTTGGAAACTTATATTTAAATCTAAGGAGATAAAAGACTTCTACAGGGGAGAACTATGAAACCTGAAGAAGAAAATGGCAGGAGGACATAAACAGATGGAGAATATACCACTGGTCATGGGATGGGCAGAATCAACATTGTTAACAATGTCTATACTACCCAAGTGACATACAGAGTCACGAATCCTATCAAGAATACATCATAATTTTTCAACGGTATAGGGGAAAAATAATGTTGATGCTTCTATGGAACCGAGAAGCGTATGCAAATCAATCCTAGGTTGTAAATAAAATAGGAGGTATCAATTTACCAGACTTCGAATGATACTCAATGCTATAAGTCATTAAAACAGCCATTTACTGGCACGGAAGAAGGACCATTGACCAGTGGAACAGAAAGAGAACACAGATATAAAACATCTCTTGCCAAACTATCTTCGACAAAGCAGACAAAACATAACTGGGGAAGAATCCTTATTATAATAGTGCTGGGGAAAACTGGACAGCCACATGTAGGAGCTGAAACATGACAACACCTTTACCTCTCACAAAAATAACTCACGCTCGGGGCTGGGGGGTAACAGACTTGAACTTAGGGGGTTAACTATTAGAATTCTTTTTTAGGGAAAAGTTGGAATATCTTTAGCCATTGGCCGAGGCAAGATTTATGAGAAGACCCAAAGGCAATCACAACAGCAACAAAATACAAATGGGACCTGTCAATTAAAAAGTGGCTGCACGGGGCAAAGAATGGTTAAGGAGAGCAACAGACAACCCAGAATGGGAGAAAATTTTTGAAGTACACATCTGATAAAGGGTTTAAACTAGAATTTATTTTAGAATCAGGAAAATAGAGAAAAATCAACAACCCTATCAAAAGTGGTTTCAATAGGAATAAACAGAAACTTCTCAAAAGAGCCGAATAATGGCAAAACATATGAAAAATTTCAACATCTCTAATCATCAGGGAAATGCTAATCAAAAACAATGAGATATACTTAACTCGTGAAGGGAAGGCTTTATCAAAAAGGTCCCAAAAACAATGCTGGGCCGTTGGGATGCGGGGAGATAGGAACACTGATACACTGCTGGTGGGCTGCAACTAGTTCAACTCTGTGGAAAAGCAATATGGAGATACTCAAAGGAGATACAGTAGAGCCCCCATCTGGAGGGTTAGAGGCGCCTGGGGCTGGCGGGCAAGGGAAGACCTTGTTCTACACTGTAGCAGGATTTGAAAGCCGGCTCCAACTGGGGTGGCCCGAACGAGGGTGGATCCATTTAGCTCCCAACATGGCCTGATTTACCCCATCCCATGTTGATCAAAGTGGCCACTAGGTGAACCTAAGTACTGGTGCCAGTGTCAGCCAGATAGAAGGGACCCTCTGACTGGTCACAGGATTTTTATTTTTTATTCTAATCAGAATTCCACTACTGGGCATATACCAAGATCAAAAGGTCATTTATTGAAAAGGCACTGCCTTCGCATGTTTATGAGCGCAACATTACAATGCAAGCTGTGGAACAAGTGCCCTCACTTGGATGGTGGATTTAAAATATGGTATATGTATACCATGGAATATATGCTTTAAGAAACAAAGTGATTAGCACCGCTCTATCTACTTCCTGGTCAGCTGGAAACCATTCTACTAGTGGTTCCAAATTGGAAAACAAGCACGATGTAGTCCCAGGAAAATTGGTAATTACGGATCACCCTATTGGACATTACGGGTACAATATATCAGGTGTCGGGCAGTGGGTCTCTTATTTTT